TAGAATTCTATGAGCAACACCCTGAAAGACAATTAACTTTGGGTTTTTTGGACATGGAGAAGGCCTTTGATAATGTAACCTGGGAATTTTTAAGACGTAAACTGGAACTTTGGGATTGTGGCAATAGTTTCATGATGATGGTAATGTCTATATATAAAGAACAATTTGCAAAGATAATAGTTAATGGAGATTTAACACAAAGTATATCTATTCAGAAAGGAACACGGCAAGGCTGTCCATTGTCACCATTACTATTTATCTTTGCACTGGAAACTTTAAATGATTTGGTAAGAGATAATATAAACATAAAAGGCCTTAAAGTTAGAGGAAAAGCATTTAAACTTCAAGATTTCACTGATGATCTGATATTTATTCTGGAAGATCCAATAGTTTCTTTTTCTCATTTGCTTGATGTATTATCCGAATATGGTTCTGTAGTAGGACTTAAAATAAATTTAGAAAAAACTAAGATTATGACCAAAAACTGCTCACAAGATTTGAATATCAAGATACAGATATATTCAGGTATTGAGGTGGTCAACAAGATCAAATATTTAGGTGTTCTACTTTCAAACAAAAGGTGTTCTACTTTCAAACAAAAATAATACATTATTTGAATATAATTATTAAAAATTACTAGATAATATTAAAAAAGATCTTCAGAAATGGCATGATTTACAACTGTCTTCTATGGGTAGAATTACTACTGTTAAGATGAACATTCTTCCACGTTTCTTATTTTTGGCACAAAACCTACCAATATTAAAAAACAATAACTTTTCCCAAGAACTGGATAAACATACAAGAAAATTTATATGGCATGGTAAAAGAGTATTTGATGGAAACTTCTTCAAGATAAAAAGAAAGAGGTGGTTTTGGTGTGCCAAACTAGTTACTTTATTATCAAGCCTCAGCTATGGGGGGGATCAGAGACTGGATAATGTTAGAAGATAAAAGACTGCTATATTTAGAGGGCCGTGACTTATATATGGGTTGGCACGCCTATATATGGTATGATAAAGATAAAATTCACTCAAACGTTCATAACCATGCAATTAGAGGGGCCCTAATAAAAATATGGAGGAAAATAAAAGAAAGATTTTATTCAAAAATACCAGGATGGGTCTCACCTCTTGAGGCCTTCACAAAGCCTACTTTTATGTCAGAAAATAAAAAAGCTACTTATGAAACTTTATGTGGTGGCGGTGTGAAAAGATCTATAAATTTTGGAAGGGTATTAAGCAATTAATAATAGAGATTATGGGCATTGAATTGCAGCTAGTACCAGAAATCTATTTACTTAATATAATACCAGATGGATATAGGCATGATGAACTATGTATTTTGTCATATATCCTTACTGCAGTCAGGATATTGGTTGTCAAGTGTTGGAAATCTGAAAACCTACCTGCTAGAGAAGAGTTGATTATAAAAAATCTGTGATGTGACAGAAATGGACAAGTTGAACATGATTCTTTCAGGTCCAGCGACTTCCTTTCCTTCATAGCTCTAACCTGTCATTGGAGATCTTGAAAGGCAGTTATGGCTGCATTGGTTTTGAGGATATTCTGAATGATCCAGCACAAAGTGAAGTAATGGGAGATTCTCATATGATGATGGAGCACAAACTTGGTTTATTATAACATCCACATACTCCAGACATACTGTACATGGATATGTTTCTTGCCTGTGTCCCTGCAGATTAAGTAAACCATATTAAATGGCTGCCATACCATATTTTGTTCATATACATAATCTCTTACCTACCTTGATGAAAAGGCACATTAAATGCTTGAAGTATGTTGGGGAAAAAAAAGGTAAAGAAGATCATGCTTTTCAAAAAAGATGGTTTAGAGTTAATAAATGGTTGGGGGGAAATGAGTAACTCCATAAATATATTTCATATACAAAATATTGTTACTTTTCTATTTGGTTTTTATTTTTATGCTTACTCTCTTTTTGTGGTTTTGTAATGAAAATTATAAATGGAAAATCATAAATAAATTTGTAAAAAAACACAAAACCAACAAACTTTTATTCAAGGTATAAGCTTTCATGTGCAAGCACACTTCTTCAGAGACAGTGAAACAGGATTTCCTCAGCCATTACATATAGACAGAGAGAGGTTGGGGTGGGTGTTAGTTGCCAGGAAGGGCTAGTTAGAATCCAGATGCATAAGTGGGAAATTATATCTGAGACTGGATTAAGGCGGTTGATAAAATCTGTGAATGGCAGCAAATTAGCATACAAATTGCCAGGAAATGTAAGAGATAACAAACAGATGTGAGAATGAAGGTTGAGTCCAGTGGCACCTTCAAGACCAACAACATTCAAATCTGGGTATAAGAGAGAACTGAGAGACTTAGTGCATGTGTACGTGTACACGCCTTCAGATCCATTGAAACAGATTTCCTCAAATATTACATATGGGGGGGGGTTAGTTGCCAGGAAGAGTTAATTAGAATAAAGGTGCTTAAGTAACTGAGCAATAAATACATCTCAGACCAACATGGCTACCCACCTGAATCCGCTTAAAACATTGGCACACAAGGCACATTTTTTCCATGACTAGTGTCTGATGGATATATTGTCATGTGCTTAGTTGAGAATGGCATTTGTTTATAGTATCAGATCCAAACTTGTCCTGACAGGATCTTGACTGCTAAGCACCAGATCATAGAATCAACCCCAGATGCATGATGCAGAAAGTCCAGGAGTCAAAATTTGGGGAACCAGGTGAGAAGAAGCAGCCCACATAGTAAGAGGGATGATTCCAAGGGAATAAAGTCATGGGTCATAATCCAGAATGACAAAGCAACATTATGGTGGCTGAGAAGCAGACAGAAATGGAACCAGATGCTGGACCAGTAGTAAGGTCTGTCAAAGTAACGCGGACATATGTATTGCCCTGACAAGAACCACAAGAAAAGGCTGTGAAGTTTACAGATGACTTAAATGAGAGGCAGTTCAAATGCTACACAGAAAGTAGAAGAAGTAAAGACACAAGGGATTCCTTCTTATGATGATGGAATCAGTTCTCAAATTTGTCTAATCTCATGTTTGGAGGTGGAGTCAGAAGAGTCAGAAAATGGGGAGGGGCAATACATTCAACTGGGAGATGTAATTATTAGGCTAACAATGGTCCTGTTCACACTAGGCGATTTGGGCCGGGAGCGGGACAGTTCGGGGGCGGAGCAAACCGGCGCGATCACACCACAACATCTGGGAAGCGTCGTGCTTCCGTCCCCGAACTGGCCCTTCCCCGCGAAAAGCCGCCCCAACTTGCAACCACCTACCTTGGTGGTTCATCGGGAAGCTGCACGGCAAGCCGGGCGTTTGATCGCCGGCGCATTCTTGCGCCGGCGCATCCCCGGCGCCTAGCCGAACTGCGCATGCTCGGACATGCGCATTTCAGCAGGCTCCCCGTCAGGGCCGTGCTTTCTCCCCGGCGTCTGATCGTGCCGGGGAGAAAAGGCGGCGCGGCCAGGGGATCCGTGGGATCCCACCGCACCGTTTCAACTTTGGCGCGGCTTTTAAATGCCACGCTTTTTGGTGGCTTTTCCCCTGCCGTGTGGCAGGGGCCATTGTTGTCCTAAGCAGGTCTACTCAGAATCACACTTGGGTTTTATTCCGTGGGGGGAGGGGCTACTTGCAGGAAATTGTACTTAGGATGATACTGTAAGTACGCACGGCTCTTGCCATATTTTATTGTGCCAATGTTCAATGGACTATGAAACAGTTCTTTAGGCTACCACAGCTTTTACGCAACACACTAAAAAGCATTCAAATCACTATTGATGTATTTGTGCTATGAGTGAATATTGTTAATTTGCAGAAAGTTTGCATAGGGACAATGTCAGCTTCCATACTAGCACTAGTAATTAGTCATAGTAATTTGTTGCATCAGTTAAATATCATAACAACATAAAAGTTATAGGTGTGAAATTACATTAAAAATCACATTTAATATACAGTAAGAATATTCCCCAAGAAGAAACTCCAGAAGGTAACATCAAACTATAATTCCACCAAGTCTCAGAGGTAAATCAATACAAGGAAAAGTGTACTGGATTTTTACTATGATCTACAGCAGGGGCGTTAAATATGCAGCCCGGGGGCCGGATCAGGCCCTCGGAGGGTTTCTATCTGGCCCGCAGTGGAACTGGCTGTCTTCTGCTGCTTCTTCCAGTTCTGCTGCTATTGCATCATTGTAGGTTTGCAGCTTTTACAGATACACACCTGAACAGCATACTCAAGATTGCAACAGCACATACATTTTGATGCACTAATTCAGAGCAAGAGGTGTCAGTTATCAGACACTGTTAAATAAACAAACTATTGCAAGAGTGCTAATGTTTTAAGCATGTTCTTTATTTTAAGTAAAAAAACCCAACCCTTTGTGTTTGTGTCCTTTATAAAGTTTATATGTCCAGTACCTGGCATTACATTTTATGACACACATGGCCTGGCCCAACAAGGTCTCATTTAGGTATGTCAGATCTGGCCCTCATAACAAATGAGTTCTACAGGCTTTTATTTACGAGACAATACTGAATATAAACAGTATAAAAACATAGCTCTGTATGATACAGTGTTTTGTATTATCTTGATGATCTTTCACAAAATCTTACAGTAGTAAGCTATAGAAAAGAGCAAGAGTCCAGTAGCACCTTAAATACTTTAAAAAACTGTGGTAGGGTATGAGCTTTCATGAGTCACTGCTCACTTCTTCAGATACAGCTAGAATGGGAGTCCACTTGTCCTGTTTATTGGAAAGTGGAGTGATTTCAGATGCCTAATGACAACAGCAGGGGAATGACAATAGCAGGTATGATTGGATTTAGAGTAGTAAGTTATGGTCTTCACAGATGTCCTTCAATTACCTTCTCTCTCTTCCAGGATCATATCTCATCTTATGAAGCATGATGCTGAAGTGTGATAATACCTACCAGAAAGGATGCTTATTCTCAGCTGTAAGCACATCTTAATTCCATGTCCATTCCTTTTCTAAAGGACCTGAATGACTGACAGTAGCAACAATGTCTTACTTTGGGAATGAAGTGTCAAGATGGAACCTGAGACATATCAGAAGAATAGCAGAGGTTCTGGAGCCAGTAACCTCACCTGGCTATGCTAAGGTGTCATCTGAGACACCTATTGGTGGCATAGATCAGTGCTTACACATCCCTGGGAAAGCAGACTCTGCCTACAGTTCTTTTTCTCTGGGCTCCAATATTCCAGAATGTCATATTCCCTTGTGCGACAGTGACATTCTGCCTTTAGAACAGCTTCCATATATGGACTCAGGATATGTACGAGGTGTTTTTAGCCCTTGTGCAATACATTCTAATCTTAAACAGATATATCAAGACAAGTCAGTAGAAATGAGCATGCACAACACCATGGACAATGGCAAGCCATATGGAAGCACTTCTGTACCTGGGACGTTATACCAACCACCGTCACCTGTGGCTGGGCTTCCATCTCATCTTCCTCACCCATCATCCCCACCAGCTCAAGTTGATAGCTGTAAAGCTAGCAGAAATACGGATCAAAGTCATTATGGAATTTGCTTCAACTACAGTGTTCAAGCAGAGGAATGCAGTCAAGATACCAGCAGAGCCCTCCCTCTTGACTCCCCAGGAAAGTGTTATGATGATTTTTGGCTTTCAAGGTGTAAAAATAAAAGTCCAGTCATAGAACTAGAAGACAGTGACATTTGGTATCCTACCAATCCATATACGACAAAGAAAAATGAAACCACCGTTTCCATCAAACCTTGTTTAAATTTCCAGGACTATTTAAAATCTGATTCTTTGGTCCACACACTTAATTCAGCCCACAATTATAAAATTCCTGAGGCACTGAACTTTAAGTCCTCTCTTTCGCCACACACCAGTCATAATGCTGTTAATGATACACAAGAGAACAAACAGTATCTTCATGCTTGCAGTGTACACAAATCACCCGTCTCAGAAGCAGATCTGCCATGTACCATGTCAGTATCTGGTGAAAAAGAAGGACAGCTTTGTGATGTTTTCAAAGCTCAGAAGCATTCAGGTTTGGATCAGGAGACATGCGAGAGCGGCAGCCCAAGCTTAAAGTACATGGACAGTTCTCTTCCAAGTCTGACTGCTCTGGGGATAATTAATACTTATGAAGACAAGAATCCCTGTTTCAGCTCTAGAGATGAAAACAGCAGAAATGCTGGGAAGCCACTTCTAGAACAGGAAGGTAGAAGGCGGAAGTTGCCATCTGCATTCCAAATCCTTAATGGAGTTAGAAAAGCAAAGCCATGTGAAAATAATGGCAGCCCTGAACTTCTTACAAAGCCCAAGCAAGAGGAAATGCTGGACGTTCGTTCTCCAGAACAATTTTCTAAGAAGGTTGAAAGTCAATTCCAGGATGACTCTGCCAGTAGAAAGATAAACAGAAAAACAACTCCCTTGCTCTACTACCTCTCTGGTGGGAAAAATACCAACATTATGAGTAATCCAAATCAGGTTCAGTTACATGAGGACTTTGATATGCAGTCTCCAAGGAGTGATCATTCATCCTCTGCAGAACCAATAGGAATACCAAGGGACAGTAACAGCTGTGTGAATGACATGGCTGCCAGCCAGAAGACAGGGCTAATTCTAGGGAGCCCAGCATCATCAGTGGATGAGAAATTCAAGAATGACTATCGAGAAAAACTTAAAGTTGCTCAAAGAAAAGTCCTGAGAGAAACCTCGTTCAAGAGAAAGGATTTACAGATGAGCTTGCCCGTCCGGCTGAAGCAGAAGCCTTCCTCAAGGCCTTCCATTCAGCATCTCAGGTCTTTATCATTATCTAGTACAAATGAGGACTCCGGGTTAATTCCTTCCTCCAAACCACTAGAAAACATCAATAAACAGGAAGAACCCCAAAGACCCCAAGCTAGTCTGATTGGGGGAAGGAAAAGAATCACCAAAGAACAAAAGAAGACCTCTTATTCTGAACCTGAGAAGCTGAATCAACTAGATGACCAGAGAGATCAGTACCCAGCATGGAGAAAGAAAAATGCAAGGTCCAGGTCTGATGAAATCAGTGAACAAGACCCTGTGATCATCAGTAATAAAGGTCTGGAAAATCAAGGCAGAGCTCTTTCGAAGGTAGAACTGAAGCAGATACAGCACATCGCACTTCTTCAGTACATGGAACGCAAGATTGGACAACGGCCTGCTACTGCCCATACCAGTGCCCCGCAAAAGCCCCCTTTGCAAATGAAGTCTTCAAATTCAAAGAAACTTCCAGAGGACAGCATTTCTAACCCCAGCAGCAGCAAAAAATCACAGAATATTGATAGTTCCTGTCCATTTTCTGATCTTGGGAGAAATCTTGAAGTGCCTGCTCTCCTCTCTTCTGCAACTTCAATATCTCCTGCCTCTGATAGGGGTAGTGCCAGTTCTTCTGTGCCTGAAAAGGTTAATTGGAAAATGCAGTCTGCTGTCAGTGAAGGAAGCTGTGTCATCAGACGTACCGCAACTAAAAGTCTCCTTTCCTCAGGTGCTTCTGTCTCCAGCAAAGGCCATGGAAGATCAAAATCAACGCCTTCTCCTATGCAGGTAATCAAAAATCTATCACAATATAAATTGTGCCAGATTTTCAAAGCTTTCTATATGTTCATGAGCACTTGTTCTTATCAACAATTTGTTTATTTTAAAATATTTGTATACTGTATCTCTGGAAACATATGTCCAAGGCAGTTAATGGTATAATAAAATAGCTCTTAACAATAAAGCGATCCCATAATCAAACACCAGCAATAACCGTAAAACCTAAAATAGCATAGATCAACTAGAACAACACCAGCACCTAAAAATATCATCAGCATGAAACCAGCAAAACAGGAAAAGAGGAGCAGTTATAAGCTAGCTGAAATAAGAAAGGCTTGGCCTGATGATGTACAAGGGTTTTCAGTGATGGTGCCAGAAGCAAGAAGAGACAAAAGGCATTTGATAGATGGGAAGGTGGACCAGTGAAAAAGCCCTGCTTTTTGTGCCCACCTTCTTCATGTCTTATGGCCAGCCTTGTGTAGGGCCTGAATATTTAAAAGTATGACCATATGAGCTATGATGGCTACATTCCTGTTTGAAAGTCACTGATTAATTTTACTAGAAAGGTCTCAGTGCAAATTCCCCATTGGGGAGAAAGGTGGGATATAAATAAAGTAAATTTAAAAATTAGACTTAAAGCTGCTTAATTTTGGCTCAGCAATATCCATTCATTATTTCCATATGAAGGAGAAGCAGGTACCTAACTTTCTTTCTCACTGAAATTGCTAGGACTTAATTATGCAAGGAAAATGGCCAGTATTTTTAAAAGCGTTGCATCCCATGCAGTATATCGTCTCCCATAATTTAATGCTACCTGATGGCAAACTGATCGACCATATGTATATAATTGCACAAACTGAGTAGTCTCCAAGAATTCCTTTTCAATGCGACTAAGGCCTGGCCTGCACACACAACAAAATGATTTACAGGATTTCAAAGGTGGTATAAGGAGATATACTTCTTCAGACATTTTTAATGCTCCCCCATGTAAAAACCTCTTGCAAATTAAAAATTAGCACAAAAGAAAAAAAGGTTCTAGCCCAGGGCTTTATATGCTATGGTACTTTTATGTTTACAAAAAATCATTTACGTTAAGGAGCAGTGTACAATGTAATCTGTCAAAGTGGTACGGTCTATTCTACCAGCTCAACTCTCTGCCCTCCTCAGGTCCTAGACTACAAAATGCCCCAGAATGAGAAGATATTCCAGTGATAATATCTTGCTTAATCCAGTTGATATAATAAGCTATTTACTTTTTTTTTTCTCCTGTCATACGCCACAAATATTTTTCAGCATCAGGGAAGAAATATGCACTTCTCAGTGCCAAAACTTGAAGGACAATGTCTGTTGATAATGCTGGGCAAACAGGATAAGGAAAGCAAACAGAGGCAAAAGGGAAAGAAAATGGAGGGAGGGAGTATGTTTCACTTCTTAGTTCAAGCTCTTAGTTATTTCTCTGATAAGAAACTCTCTCTAATCTCCCTTGTTTTCAGGTGTATCAGGGAAATGAAGTCAGTTCCTTATTCTTATGGTGATTTTTTTCCCTAGCCACAAACTGACTGCATGGCCTGTTCAACTCTGCTTTTCTAACTTTCTAGGGAGAATAGGCTCAGTGGTCAATTAAATGCCTTGCATACCAGAGACTTAGCATGTATATTTATTTATTCATTGATTATTATTTTAAACATTTATAAGCTTGCCTTTCTTCCGAGGTGGGTAAAAACAGTTAAAGCACTACAAAAACTTGTCCCTGTTTTCTCCCTGTATTGCTAGTAATGATTCTGAGGTAAGAAGTTTGAGAGACTTCTAAGTCCTTGGAAAAGCACTGGCAGCCAGAATATACAATACTGAGCTTCATGGACCACTGGTCTGACTTGCAGTTTAATATATACTAGGCATCTGATAAGTATATTTGAGATTAGCATGGTGTACAGCACTCTACACCAAATCTTGGAGAATCTGGAGACATGTATTACTGCAACAGAACAGAAGTAACCTTCTGCTCTTCAGTCTGCTCATGTTTCTTCTGAAGAGCCAGCATTGCCTACTTGTCAGTGCTAGGGCTGGAATGGAAAGATCCGGAGTCTAATCCCACCTCAGCCATGTGTGTTCTTGTAGAAGGCTTATTATTCAGTTTAACCTGAACATTTTAAAATTATCTTGAGTATATTTTAGCTGTTATCCAGTTTAATATGGTGACATTGACTGTCCTGAGAAAAAAGAATTGAACTAGTTGCAAATTGCTTATTGCTGCAGTAATCTGCAGCCAGTGTTATACATGGTTATGTAATGGAACTCAGATCTCTGTCTTCTACAAAGTGGAGTACAGTTATGCTTACCACAGTATTTGAAAAGTACGCAAACGGAGAGTGATTTCAGCAAAGCGTGCTTTATTCGATCAGGAACAAGACGACTTTGGCCAGCTCACAGGCCGGTTTATATTCCCTGAGAAACCGCCCCCCAAAACCCCCCCCCCCACACACACACACTTCCTGATAGGTTATTTACAGTGGCCGAGAGGCCCATTGGCTTCTCGGCCAGGAACCTAGCCCTCTGATTGGAGCGGGCTAGGATCCACAGGGTCCATTGTCTCTAGGAGCGAAGCTTGACGTTTGTCTCTGGGCTAGTTCGGACTTGTCAGGACTTGATACACTACAGTATTAATTATGCCTTCTACTTGTAAGGCATAATAGATGTTACTGTATGGATAGCTGCCTTCATGCTGTGAGTCTTCACAGTCACCGCTGCCAGATGGATGGGGAGGAGAGAACTCAGCAGTGGCATCCTCATATCCATTGTAACATGTGGTGCCTATAAGATGAGTAGGTTTATGAAGGGCTGTTTATGAAGCTTAAGTCTGAAGGTTTGGAGGAAATGGCCAATGCTTACTCTGTCTATAGAGACGCCATTTGAGATTGGTGCTGTAGGAGACACCCAAAGAAGATGCAGAAGGCAACATGGAAAAGGTGGTGGCCCTTTTCTCCCTGGGACATCCTTCTGTATGCTTCAAATAGCTGCAGAGCCTGCAGAGGTTAGGTACAGGACCTGGCAGAGATAGTGGGATTCTGAAGACCTTTATTGTGCTGATGATAGGAAGGATCAAGAAGTTATGCACAGTAGCAAAGGCAGATGTCTTCTTATTCAGACACTCTTTTACCTTGTCTGATTCACCTGGCATTATCTATGCACTATCAAGCCCCTCTTTTCAGCCTTTAAAGCTAGACCGGGGGGGGGGGGAATCTGGGGTTTGCACAGGAAGTTAAATTTTGCATGGATATCACCAGACACTCAGCCCAAAGTGATTTCTGTTCCCACTATAGTCATTATGTAGAAGTGCCATTGAAGAGGTAAGAAAGACTTCCTTTCTTCATTAGGGCTGATATATCTCATCCCAGCAGGTTACATGTGAGTAGAAAGTGAAAAGCAATAAAGTGGTATGCGGAGATTCCTCATGGTAAATTTTATTCATTTCCAGGATTTCTATAAGTCTACAGCCTGCCCAGTGTTGTCATCTCAGGACCACAAATATTATCCCTTCCAGTCCAGGTAAGTGTTTAGTATTCTCATTACTTCTACTTTCACTGTGTTCTCTTTGACTACCCCCAACCAAGGAAGAATTTAAGTTTTACTTGGCCTTTCCACTGGAACAGCTGCATTCTCCACAGAACAATTTCTATTATTACAGTTGTATATTTTAAAGCAACTATGATCATGAAAATTGTTTCTGGGAGGCCCCATCCATGTTCAGATAGGTCACTATTCAGTTTTCTGAATAAATGCATCTTTGGAGGTGATTGGGGTGTAATGCACGGCAAAAATTTTGTATGTTATGATGACTAAGCTCTCATTTCAAACCAACTAATCCAAAAGATTTTTTCAGACATTTTTGAATGGTGATGTGTATCAGGGGAATACTTTACCATTGGCCAAACCCTTGGATGAATTGACATGCAGCAGCCTCACCTGAAGACTGAGCATATGTTGTCGAAGGCTTTCACGGCTGGAGTTCATTAGCTGCTGTAGATTTTCTGGGTTGTGTGGCCGTGGTCTTGGCATTGTAGGACCTGACATTTCGCCAGTAGCTGTGACTGGCATCCTCAGAGGTATAACACAGGAAGATAGAGTACTCTCTGTGTCAAGGTGAGAAGAAAAATGGTAGGCAGGTAATTTATATTTACTCAGGAAGGTGGGGTAGGGCTGAGTCATTATCTTGTAGGAGTTCCCCAGGCTATGAACGTTCTAATGGAGGAGCTTTCCTGAGGAGGTTCTTTTGCATATGGATTGTTTCCTGAGGAGATTCTTTTGTATGTGGATTGGCTGTTGAAATTCTAATCTTATCTGTAGTGCTATTGTCAGATGTAGAGCCTTTTGTGCTTTCAGGACAGGAAACCGTGCCCTATTTATTTTTAAACTCTCCTCTTTCTTGTTGAAATTGTTTTTATGTTTATGAATTTCAGTGGCTTCCCTGTGTAATCTGACATGGTAATTGGAAGTGTTGTCCAGCCTTTCAGTGTCTTGGAACAAAACACTGTGTCCTGTTTGAGTCAGACTATGTTCAGCCACTGCTGATTTTTCAGCTTGGCCCAGTCTGCAGTGTCTTTCTTGTTTCAGAACAGACAGCCACTGGCCTGCTGCTGGCTTCATTTGGGTGATTCTACCAGCCCTATCACAGTGTCTATGACACTTGTGCAGTAATTGTTCACTCCATCCTGCACAAATTATCACAATAGGCCTACTAGAAATTGTATTCCCGAAGAAGAAAATACAACATTTTAAGAGCTGGGCAATAGAAGCGCTTCTTTGCAGGAAAATGAGATGATAAGGTGGTAGATAGCACTATTACAGGCTCTAATTCTCTTATTTCACCACTACTTGTAGAGACCAGGCCTGTAATGGATCTCCTGCAACCTAGTAATAATCACACTCAGAAGAGGGAATCTAGAACAATCAATGTTCCCTCTAAGCTGTAGAGTCCTGTGAGCAAAAATTCTACTTTGTGAGCTACCAGCATTAAAGTTGTGAGCAGGTGATTTGGCTGCTGCATAAATTAGTGTGTTCTGGAGCCATCCTTCCTGAGCTGAGACAAAAAATGTGTGAACCAGAGGCTAAAAAGCTGTGAGCTGGCTCACACTAACTCAGCTTAGAGGGAACACTGGTCACCATTACACCTTAACTAGAGCATTCATCCTACATGACAGCTACTGAAGACTGAGTCTGGTAAGAGACCAAAGTTTGAGTCCAGGGGCACCTTTAAGACCAACAAGGCTTTATTCAAGGTATGAGCTTTCATGTGCATGCACTCTTCTTCAGACACATTGAAATGGAAATAAAAACAGTCATACATATAGAGGGTAGACAGCAAATTAGTATACAGAATAATGAAGGTGTTTTAAACAGATTAAAAGGATAATAAGCTTAGTATATGTGGCTATCATCTGTTTGGGTTCAACTATGCTATGTTTGTCTCCCCCAGTGAAACCCAAACAGATGATAGCCACATATACTGTTTATTATTCTTTTAATCTGTTAAAAACACCTTCATTGTTCTGTATGCTAATTTACTGCCCACCCTCTATATGTATGACTATTATTTCTATTTCCATTTCATTGTATCTGAAGAAGTGTGAATGTACACGAAAGCTCATACCTTGAATAAAGCTTTGTTGGTCTTAAAGGTGCCACTGGACTCAAACTTTGTTCTACTACTTCAGACCAACACGGCCACCCACCTGAGTCTGGTAAGGGAAGTGTGGCTGGGAGCCTTTAAGAAGCCTTTGAATGTCCAGTAATCATTTCAAGTCCTAGGCTTTGAGTGGCAAAAGTTTGCTATGAATTCTTGTAGATTCTTCAGCCCAATATCTGGAATGCTACACTTCCTCAATGACAATGTTTTTCAGTTGAAATGTAGCACTATTTTGGCTTCTCCTGGACCCAGCAATGTGTGCAAACGCACGAAATGGCTGCTTGCAGAGCTGGGACAACTCCACTCTGTCATTCAAAGGCACAGAATCAGCAGTTCTCTTGACCATTTTTTTAGGTCAGAGCTCCACCACCTGATCTGCTAGAGAAACAGCATTCACAATTTAGGGGTGACATGCCATCCAAATAAATGAAATGGAAGGCTTCTGTGCATCTATCTGCAAGGTAGATGTTTAATATTTACTGTAACATAGTAGCTTAAAAGAGAATTTTACTGCAGAAGAGAAAGCTTCTGGCACTGAGCCAGTAAAAATCTTTTCTTAAGAAAAGCTACATTCCATAGGACTGGAAAACAATTAGGAGATAATTTTTTGAGCCTGTTAGATTTATAGACTATGGTAATACATTTTGTTATTTTTCATTGGTAGAGGAAGCCACAGACCTGACCAAAGTACCTTCATCAGCTATCTTCATTTCCTGTACTCTTCAGTTACTTCCCAGAATGAAATGTGGTAGCATAAATGCATTCCGGTGCCTTACAGCATGAACTGCAAACCATCTACTCCATAAAACTGTTGATGATTTATTAGGTTTACACAGTTAGATGCCTTAAAAAAGGGAGCTTTGCTACTTTAATGTGTGCAGTTTGAATAGCAAATAAAGATGGGGTGCTATTACAGTTTCCACAAAAAAATCCTTGTGTCAAGGGTAGTAACAGTTTGCCTAAGCATATTAAGTGGGTTCATATGAAAAGGCTTGTATGAAATCAGTTAGGATGTATTAATGCCATGTTCCTTCCAGCCATATTCTAGGACCTCAGGGTTAAACCAAGGTTGTCCTGAGTGTCCCCCCCCCCCAATAAGGGTGCATAATTTTAAAAAAAGGTTATTCATTTGTTGCCATGGATGGGGTCTGCAGTTGCCTTCCCTTAAGGCAACATTTTTCTTGCAGACAAGCTCACTTTCTCAGTCTTCAAGCTATAAAATTGTGCTTTGGAAAAGTCATATCTCTTCCACATCCCTTACACAGCCCAGCAGAATGAAGTTGCAGAAGTATAATGGACACCTATTATATAATGATTGTAGCATTACTAATAACAAGGACCACACTTACACACACACACATTCCCCATTGTACGTTTTTTAAAAGGTTTGTTTTATTTTCATTTTTATACTTCTTTTGACATTGAGCCTTTCTCTGCTGTGGGAAGGGGACGTCCTTCCATCATTGGACAATTTACACAAGAAACCCCACCAGTGTAGTCACAGGCCTTAACTGTTTTACAGTCAAGCCACTTATGGAGGGCACATTTATCTCTAACATATATCTCTAATATATAGATCTGTGATTCTTGTACAAAGGAATGAAATGGGAGAGGCCTCAGACTGAACAAGGGTGGAAGAGAGGGAAAGAAAGGAGGGAGTGTTTAACCATTTGTGTGTTCAGTGCGGCAGCCATCTGTGTGTTCAGTGTGGCACTGAACAAATCAAACGTCTCCCCCCCAGCAGTGCTTCTTAATCTGATCCACCTGTAACTGCTTTACCTAATAAAATAAAGGAGGAGGGGAATACATGGCTTAAACCATGAAACAGATTGCAGTTCTGCGGTGATGCTGGTATGAAAAGTCTGCTTGTTTTGTATTTATGTTGAACAGTTATAATGAATGAAAAAGGGTTGTTGGTGACTTTCTAAGCTGACATATGATTTGAAACTAACTTCAGTGCCCCATCAGAGGAGGAACTAGAAGCTGACCAATCAGACTGTTTCTGGACTACAAAACAAAATACGTACAAAGCTGGAAGGAGAGGGAAGTCTATGGAGGAAACTGGAAGCTCAGAAATGGTCAGATTATCACCACTGAGTCAAAGTACGGATCAGCTTCACCATCTGAAAAACCAGCAGATTTCCTCTGGGCGGAAGCCAGACAAAAACACCCAAAGGCCAAATAATCAAAACAGCATTCTGCAAAACTGCGAACCTACATCTGGACCTCTGCCCAGACCATCACACTCTGAAGGTGTTGCAGGTCCAAAGGGATTAAATTCAATGGTTCAGGTGCTTCAACAGTCTCCTAGTACAAATAAACACAGTAATAACACTTTCGTGAGTCTAGGCAATCCATCCCTGTGCAGTGTACCCTCACTTTCTGTGGGTAGGTCACAGTCTCAGAGTATACCTTTGGAGCCTCTGCATTCTTCACCAGCTCCTTCTCCTGCTGAGACAGACAATGATGTTTTTAAGGACTCTTTTTCCAGTGGCTCAGAAAAGCCCTCAAGCCTTCCCTTCCCCTATAAACAAAATAAGAATTCCGTTCTGGACAGAACACCATCAGAACCTGCCTTGACTGTATCAGCTTTACAGGCTTCCATAGAAGGAAAACAAATCAAGGAATATAATACCAGGTAACCATTTTATTCCTTTTTGGAGCAATTCCCCCCCCCCTCAATGTGCACGCCTGTTAGGGCTGCCAGCTCTGGGTTGGGAAATACCTGGAGATTTGGGGTATGAAGCCTGGGGAGGGTGGGGGTTGTGGAGGGGAGAGACCTCAGCAGGGTATAATGTCATAGAGTCCACCCTCCCAAGCTGATCTTGGTCATCTGGAGAGTAAGTGGAATAGTGGAAGATCTCCAGGCACCACCCAGAGACTGGCAACATTAACTTCTATTAAGGCATGTTTTCAGATGTGTCAAAGGTTTAGAAGTGTTAGGAGCCTGCATATGGGGCAGGCTTTGGCCTTTGTGCTATCTTCTTGGCCCTCCAGGGCAACTGGTTGGCTGCTGTGTGAAAAAGGTTGCTGGACTAAATGGACTACTGGTCTGATCCTGCAGGACTTTCTTATGTCATTTTGTCATATACAAGCATCATCGTATATGGAAGAAAGATACCCTAGCTCTGAAAGGTACTATAGCGCTGGAAAAGTGGGAATCTTTGTAAAAAAGGAAGAGAATGCCATTAGTTATGGGTTAGATCCAAAGAACTATGAACTTTGCTCACAGATAAAATCTGCATCCCCCACCACCACTTGAGAAGCTGTTTTTGAAGCTAAAAGTTGCTTCAGATCTGTGGGATGTAGTGGGTGTAATGGGATGCGGCCCTAGTGGGAATTCTGCTCATAAAAAGACACCTTTGGGACCATCTTGTTGTATTCATGATCTCCCAAACCACTTGTGCCCTAATGGTATTCTAAGTAATAATAGAAGAAGATTGGATTTATACCCCGCCCTCAGAGCAGCTTACAAACTCCTTTCCCCTCCCCTCCCCACAACAGACACCCTGTGAGGTAAGTGGGGCTGAGAGAGCTCTTTCAAGAACTGCCCCTTCAAGGACAGCTCTTGTCAGAACTATGGCTTGCCCAAGGTCATCCAGGAGCTGCAAGTGGAGGAGTGGGGAATCAAACCCGGTTCTCCCAGATTAGAGCCCGCACACTTAACCACTACACCAAACAAAATAGTAACATTGGTTAAAATCAGGTTGCTTCTTTAGATATATTTCTATTTAAATATTTTCTGGGTTTTGCATGGGGAGGGAAACCAGCAAGTAATGTTGATATGAGCTGGTAAAAGATCTATGAAGGACACTTTGTCCAGTTTTTTAATTATAGGACTGAAATTAAATGATCTAATTGGTATATTGAATTATTTAACCAATTCACACTTAATAAGGTACAGAATCGTTACATGACCGACTTAAGTTGTGTGTGTGTGTGTGTGTGTTAAGTGCCATCAAGTTGCTTCCAACTTATGGCAACTCTATGAATTAATGACCTTCCAAATGTCCTATCGTTAACAGCCTTGCTCGGGTCTTGCAAACTGAGGGCCACGGCTTCCTTTATAGATTCCCTCTTTCAAAGAGACCCAGACACTATGATTCTAAAATTCTATGGGATCTCTAACTAAATTCTCACCAGCTTCACTAGATTAGTGCTTGGACCTCACCAACATTTTTTAGTTGTTGGAAGGATTTCTGTCCATGAAGCATGATTTTCTTGCATTCCTCTGTCTGCTGTAGCTCAACCAGCTCCTTCAAATGCTGTTTTGGGGACCCCCAGGAACAGCATGAGGTCAGCAGTGAGAGAGGGAGATAGGAGAAAATCACCACCACCCCCTTCCATCAGCTGAAATCTTCACTGGGATCCAAACCCATAAATTCCAGTTTTGCTTGGGGAAAGTCATGACGGTACTACTGGGATGAAACTGATCTAAGCTTGCAGTATTGTATGTTGAGACGAATCACTTAGGTATGCGATATTTGCCAGAAATTCAGAAGGCATGCTTGTAAAAACAAAATGTTTACAGGAAAATGAACGGCAGGCTTTCAAAACACGCAATTTGGAAAACCATTTTAATGTACTGTACAATCAAAGTTGTGTCAGCATGCTCTGATATTAGAAGTTTCCTTTTGTATGGAACTCCTTTGTAGTAAGTGCATCCATTGAAATGCATACCAAGGAGAAAGTCTGCAGCTGAATTATCTCAGCAAGTGCCTGATGCACAGGAATTAAGGGATAGGAAAAGCTTTCAGTGCTTATCTCATTATTAGGAAGTGTTTTGTTGGTTACATTTCTATGTGAGATGTCAAAAGGCACAGCAGTAGAGTCGGTAAAAAGATGGCAGCCCTGCATAATTGTATGTAACTGATTTGTTCTTCTAGCTTTTATGTTCCCAAGAAAGAAGAATCTGGTCTTGGAAACAGAAATGGAAATAGTGAAGAAAATATTTCTGCTGAGAATTCTCATTGTTCAGAGATGGCTCCTGGATTTTCTGCTTTCATCCTCAAAGAAATGATTAACAAAGATTATCAACTGCCAAAAGAAAGAAGTAATCAATCTCAAATGTCTAATGCATCAGGGAGAATACAGTGGCAACAGTTACAGGTGACCCACAGAAGAGCAGGATATTGCTTGGAGGACATGACATACTGTACAACTATATCGGATAGCCTAGGAGATAAAAATACTGGTCATCCATCAGCAAAGGGGGAACAAAATGAACATGATCATGTCTTACATGAGCAAGACACTGAATTGTCAACAGCACAGTTAAAATTTCGAGAGCACCAGAGGTGTGAAGACCTTGCTGTTAAGATTGTTGCTGAAGACAAGTCTCTGGTTGACATCCTCAGGCCCCATCCTATTAGGAAGACTGTTTTAGACCTCATGGAAGGCCTATTTCCTGTGAACATTTCAATATCTGACAGATCCTGGAGAATAAAGAGAAGAAACCAGTCTATTCAACAAAATGAGTAAGTTTATGATGAGTGGAGGCTTTGCTAGTGTTAATGGCACAACTTGGTATCAACAGCCATAATGGAATACCTACATATGGAAGGGAAAAGACAGCACAAATGCCAGTTAGGTGATTTTGCCAGCAGCAATAAAGAAAGCCTGGTCATATTTCTCCAAACAATGTGGCCAAGGCTAATCCAATTTTGTCAGATCCTGGAAGCTAAGCAGGGCTGTCCCTGGTTAGTATTTGGATGAGAGACAATAAAGAAAGTCCAGGGTTGCTATGCAGAGGCAGGCAATGACAATCCACTTCTGTCGCCTTTTGCCTTGAAAACCCTATGGGGGTTGCTATAAGTCAGCTGAGACTTGACAGCACTTTCCACCACCACCATATCATGGCATATATATGGCCCACACTCTGCTGAGGAACTCTCCCAATAAAACCTCAAATGAAACAAACAAGATTCCCAACTCAGGGCTTTTTTTGTAGAAAAAGCCCAGCAGGAACTCATTAACACAATAGGCCACACCCAACAGCAGAAACTCATTAGCATATTAGGCCACACCTCCATGCCTTCCCTTCACTTGCCCAGGTGCCCCATTTAAATGCCTCCCCGATCCTTCAAGGGCCCCCCCGGCCCACCCACCTCAGAGTCGCTGGGGGGGGTGTCACTCTCCAGGCCTTCCCTCTGTAGCCACACGTGCAGAGGTTTTGGCTGTAGTGGGTGTGGCCAACTCTGAAGCCAGCCGGAACTCTGTTCCTGTGCGTTCCTGCCCAAAAATAGCCCTGCCCCAACTAATTGTTTGTTACGTGCTTCCCACCTCCTCAAGTGGTGAGAAGTCTATGGCTATTGTGAAGGATTTAGATCCTCTATAAAAGGAAGTGCCACTTCACACAATTGGTGACTGTACAGCAGAATTCACTGTTACAACATGTGGTGATGGCCACTGGTTTAGAGGGATTTAAAAAGGGTGGGGTTGTAGTTAAGCCATGTATTTTCAGCAATTTGGGGGAAAACACAGCTTGGGAAGAAAAAGTCTATGTTATTGAAATATCTGTCATGCTGACAGTGAAGTATTGGTCATATTATTATTTTCTATTCAACAGCCAAATACACAGTGATAGTGCCTCAGACCTATCTCATGAAACTGGGCATTTTCTTGAACAGAGAGCAGACGATCCCACATCACGTATAGGCCAAATCCTGAGTGGCAGCAGAGAGTGCCTTGAGGACCCAGAAAACATCATATCCAAGAAAGTAGGTAGATGAATGAGAGGAGAAAAGTATGGCATGATCCAACCAAAGGTTTGCACATTTAAGTCCATTTGATTTGAATGGAAGATTTAAACTATGTGCTCAGATCTTTCCAAAGGAATCTAAGTCTGCTTAAAACATGCTTAATTTTGGTATGTTAATACCCTGTTTCTCACCATTTGTACTATTTCCATTTATAATAACTTTACTGTAAAATGTGGTATAGGTTCTAATTTGAATAAATAAATGCATGTTTTCCTCAGTTTCTAAATACAAAAATGGATTCATGACTGCAGACTGAGTGAGATATGGATCCTACATGAATAGGACCTGGCATCTATTGGGCATATGATCCTCTTTTTCCAGACAATAGTGTTAGCCTATGCTGGCTTTTGTGGATGCAGAGAATGAAATTGGCTATGGAAATGGTTGCTTTTGCAGAATGACCATGTTTTTTATGTCAAAACTTTTATTTTGGATATATCAACACATTCAACATTGCATTACATTTCTTTTATCACATATCCATTTCTCTTATCTCCTCCCCCCCCTTTGTGGCTTCCCGCAATGCTCCTCCCCCTTTCCCATTTATAATTCTATTTTTCCTTTCCCCTTTTCATCTTAAATTTCAAGGTAACAATATCTTAATCTAAACATTCCAAGCCTTTATATGTTTCTGCCCTTAATAATTATCAAAACAAAGTAAATTATGTTTTACATCCCAGTTTTTTTCCAGATATTCTTTAAAGTCTTTCCATTCTTCAAAAAAAATCTTGATCTTCTTTGTCATTAAGTTTCTTCGTTAATTTGTCCATTTCAGCCATGAGAATGACCATGTTTTTTTAAAAGCCTGACATCACAACAAGGAGGCTGACCAGTCTTTGAAACCAGATCATATTTCAGCTAATCATATCCTATTTACAATTTCCTGTGTAACATATAGTTCACTTCTACATAGTCAGTATATAAACATCACCACCTCAGGGCTCCTTTCATATTGCGCATAGTCAAAGGACCATCTTGCCCAATTCATTTTCTCAACAACTTCTCTCTTTGCAGAAAGAACTTATTTCCAGCATCCAGCTGAAGCTGCAGGCTCTGTGGGATGAGAAGGAGCTTATCCAGTCTGAAGCCAAGGAGCATGCTGCTCAGGGCAAGGAGCTGGAGTCCCTGGTGCAAGATCTCTGCAAGGCCAATGAATATGAGCGCTATATGATGTACATTGGAGATCTGGAGAAGGTCGTAAGCCTGCTGCTCTGCCTGTCTTGCCGTCTTGCTCGGGTCCAGAATGCCATGGAGAAAACTGACGAAAATACAGATGCTGAAGAAAAGGTAAGTCATGAGAGGAAGGAGTTAAGTTAGACTCTTTTACCTTACCATGAAATCTTCCAGGAGAGGTTGCAGTGTGATTTTTCTAATTGTTTAGACTTCTGTAGGCACGGTTCTCTGAATCTGAAACACTCCACAATTTTTCACTGTTTGTGAATGTTTAAAATCTTTTCTAATGGTCCTAATTCTGTGTATGATGGTACCTTTGGCCAAGTACATACATAACCTTAAACAACATGGCAGCTGCTGTGATATGGCTGGTCTCAAGCCGCTGCTACTAACATCTAAAGCAGGGGTGTCAAGCATAAGGTCCGGGGACCAGAACCAACCCATCCAGGTATGTATGGAAATATAATGTACTCCCCCTTTTATGGTATCCCTTGGAAAAAAACTAGTCTTGCATATGATTGAATCCATTTTTTTTAGCCCCCCGAAGGGGATGTTTTTATTACATTTTTATAAACACTACAAACTACAACAGAAATAGGATAAGGGACTACATCTAGGGACAAAGTAAAGATACCCACTAATACCTAAAAACCCAAGAGAGGAGATCTTCTAATCAGCTTACACAAACATCAAGTCTTAATTCCACTAATCCCTTTACAAACTGAGTCAGATATATCATTGTCTT